TAAGTCTCCCGTTTTATGTGTAGTCTGTAGTCACTTATTCCCATTTATTTTCACCTTAGAAACAAATATTTTTTCATAAAATGTAATGCGTACTCATAAGCGTTCAAATGCGCACTCTTGTGCAATGAACTGTCTAACAGTGCGCATTTACACATCTTGACAAAAATTGAAATTACTCTTAAAATATAGTGGTGTTGGGGCGTACAATTAAATATATCTGATCCCTAAACATGTATATAACGAACCCACATCATAAAATTTGTCTATCCAAAAAAATTAAAAAGTTGTTGACAGTTTTACACTAAGTGCGTACTCTTGTACACATTTACCCTACCGAAGACTGGAGCTTTAAAATATACTGTCGTTATCCGCCTTGGTTCGGTAAGAATATTATCAAAAGTCTTCGATTAAAAACTAATATGCGTAAAACACTTCTGTTGAATCAGAATCCTCAGTCACATATTGAATTTAAGAGACTCGGATCGGATGTTAAAAAGAAAATTTTTATAGCATACGCAAAATATATGAAAATAATATTACCAGGGATCCTAAGAAATTTGGTCGTTCATTCATTCCAAAGAAGGTAAGACGCATACACCTGGAATACTAACATACTAACATGTGATGGAAAAATCATTTCGAATCTTACGGATATAGTTAACAGCTTTGCTGATTTTTTTAAAAGTGTTTACACTTCTTCCCTACCTATCAGTACTGATATCGTTTCAGATACACTTCCAAATAATTTATAATTAATTCTGTCTGCTATAACTGAAGATGGAATTATTCGGGCTATGAAAACGGCAAAAAATACAGTAACCTCCGATTCTGATGATATCCCGAGTTTTTTGCTAAGAGATACTGCCTATGTTTTATCAAATCCGCTAACTGGTATCTTCAGTTTTATTCTTGAAACGTCGACTTCTTCGGAACTTTGGAAGTTAGCACAAATAACTCCTATCCACAAAAAAGCTGATACTTCTCAAATCATCAGTTATAGACTATTGCGCAATTTTTCAAAAGTGTTTGAGTGGATTTTCTATACTCACATTTAGCATTTATAATTCGGTTCGTAATTTCATTTCACCTGACCAACATGGTTTAATGAAAGCGCGTTCCACTGCTACGAATTTAGCCACTTTTATGCATTTTACGTCGGAAGTGATAGATAGAAATCGTCAGGTAGATGTCATCTGCACAGATCTAGATCGTTAGATTAAATTGACTACAACTTTACAAATTAGACTGTATCTGAAGTCCCGCAAGGCTCAAATCTCGGCCCCCTGCTATTTCTAATCTTCATTAACTATGTGACGGATGCACTAGTATCATTGTTTGTCGACTTAAAATTATTTTTGGAGATTCGCCCTTCATGCCTAGATGCTTTAGTAACTTTGTGCATCAGGAACCGGCTTCAGCTAAACATATCCAAATGTTTCGTTGTAACGTTCTCTCGAAAGTTTATGAAAATAGAATTTTCTTACAGCATACGAACCGCCATTCTACGGCTTAGAATAGAATAGTACAGCACTTGGAAGTATTATTTGATGATAAGTTTACATTTGTTTTGCACATAACGGAAATTCTCGAAAAGCAAACTCTATGTTGGGTCTGATCATTCGAGATTGTAAAAATTTCCAACATACACAAACGCTAATTGTTTTGTATTTTGCATTAGTGCGTAGTAGATTAGAATATTGTGCTATTGTGTAGGGTCGCCAATATGTATATGAGGTTCATGTTAATCGCTTAGAATCGGTGCAAAGGCAGTTTTAAAAATTTTTGCGTTTTTTAAAAAACAGAACTATTCGGTTAGAGGATATGATCATTTAACATTGCTAGGTAGATCTAATTTTACTTCACTGCATGTGGCTGTTGAATAAAATAAATTTCATAGTACCCAGATTAAATATGCGACAATTGACAACCATCTATCTATTCAGCTACATGCAGAACTAATACTCTGCGTAAATTACTTGTATTTATCATGTTTGAGAACATCAATAATATCTCCTCTTTATGTGACATTCAATTTGACAATCTAGAAATAATTAAAAAGTGTCTTATCAATTTTTTCGATCATCAGCGTACTTTTGTTTAATAAATAATTGTTCATATTATTAGAGTCTTAATAAAATAACTGTAGTTCCGTTCGTTTTAGTTGCGTTTTTTTTTATTATAAACACTTGTTATTTTATATTTTCTATAACTGCATGGGTTATGTACTTGTAGGAAATAAATTAATTGGTTTTATAAAGACCTAAAGAATTGTGGCACAAACAAACCAGAAAAGACATGCGTGTGGCCTTGAAGATGAACATGCGGGAGTTTTATTAATTCGTACTGTTGTGTATAACTGATATTTCCGCGTTGTCAGCTGTCTCGGATTAAATGTTAGGTTTAATGTACACATACTCCACAATGTTTACAAAAAATGAAGGCTAATTTGATGACTGTTTTAACTGAACGCCCGTTATATTAGCTGGATTATTCAATGAATTCCTCATCAAGGTAACTCAACCACTGCTAGATATCAGCTAGGAACTTAGGCAAATTTTAAACCACCACTTCACGACGATGAAATGGATACATGTTATTTTCAGCTAGCCGGGCTTACAGCGTCTATCTGGAGTGTTAAATATATATAAATACTTCTTGCACTGGCTCGTTCGCAGATACAAATTTGGTTGTAGAACTTTTTAAAAGTTGATGGTATTTTCGAAATTGATGCAAAATATATTACGAGTATGTGTTTCTGTAAAAAAATCTTAGAACACACGTCTGGAAAGGTTTTTTTTAACTGCTTTCACAAGAAGATGACAGAGTTGATGTTTAAAACACAAAGAATACACCAGCACAGAACATAACCGACATTTCATTGCTATCGAACTTTTATGTTTTACAATCCCACATTTTATTCCTGAAATCTCTGCATCGCGAAGTCATAAATATCTTTTTTAAACTCTCTATCAATATAAACGTTACATGAGTGGATAAGTTAGGTATGTGTACTTGTTTTAGGGTGACTTTTACGGTATTGACCAAGAGCTTTAGGTCCTGGTGTCATACTTTAATGGTAAATTTTATAACTTTATTGCTACGATAGTTATGGCCCCGTTAAGCGCACCGATGAATTTCAACGTGGCTCATAAAACTTGCATTAACGTCTATGCTGCGGCCAGACGGGATATGGCGTCGTTGCGTTGTGCATTGCTTTATGTTCTGATCTCTATCGGTAACGGTCGGTTGGGTGTTATTGAACCTTACGTGTATTAAATATGCAAATGGAAGCGTCCCAGGACAGTGAAAGCTCGTTGTTCACTTCCTCCATCTTGCTACACCCTTATCAAGAAATTGTGGTTGAAGTGATGCTTGTGAAGAAGTGAGTGAGAGACGTTAAGCGAAATTTGAAACGTTACGTTTCTGTATTCTTTCGCATAAACTTTAATGAGAGTCTTGATGTTTTTTTTTTTCGTTTCTGTTGAACATGGCATTAAATATGGATTTTATCACATACTATGTGTTTACTGATTCGTGAAATAGTAGTTGTTGAAGTAACAGAAGAAATGTTTGTAAAGAATACAAAATGCTAGATATAAGGCTTTCAGTTGTTTCTTGTTGACTTTTTTTTGTCAGAAGTGAGATAAAGGCTTTTATTTAAACATGATACAGTTTTTTTTTAACTAGAACGTAGAAATTTGTTTAATTTGAATGAGTTGTCTTCTCGAAACACAGGACTAAAATTAATGAATTAAGCCACAATGGAACAAAGTGTTTTGTTGATTATTATTATTCTTATTTGATCATAATTAAATAATAATATTTTCTAGAAAAGGAGGTTCTTAATTTGATCAATAAAAAATTGGTCGAAGGTTATAAGTATAATCCGACAAATCCAGCTTTTTAAAAAATTATAAAATTTGATTTTAGGAGTTTCGTTTTGAGATAACCACGGTAAAGTAAAAACCAGAGGCATAAATAACACTCCTTGTCCTTCAGCATTAGGAAATAGCAATCTGAAGCTCAAGTGTTTATTTATGTTTATACATCGAAAGAATGTCACGTAGATTGTACCTTGCAAAGGTTTTTGCGAAAATTTGAACGCTTAGTGAAAAAATTGAAAGTGGATTCGCATACTATAAATAAAGGAGTATGTTTTTGTACAACATTCAAATTATTTTAAAATACACATCATCTACACGATATTTCTAATCTATACCTATATTATAAAGCTGAAGAGTTTATTTTATTGAACGCACTAATCTCAGAAACTACTGGTTCGAATTTAAAAAATCTTTTTGTGTTGGATAGTCCATTTATCGTATCTACATATAGAATATTTTGATTTGATATTCGAGTAGATACTTCATATTTCGAGTATGAGCATCTACTGAGTTTTATTTATATCAACCATTGTCAAAAAATTGATCGAACGTTGTTTCGACAGAACTTCCTTCGCACCAAAAGTATAATGAAACATATTCAGCATTTTCGAGTTGAGTCTTTTCTTCACACAATTTTGTGAGGACCTAATCAACATTTACGATCAACACGTATACCACCTTGGATTGGTGCAGTGTAATACTAAACATAACTGTATTGTATTCCCAAAATTATCTGCGAAAATCGAGTTAGCCGTTCCATCAATTTTTTGGGGGGAATAAATAAATATTCTTAAAAATTTAAAAAAGTAGTCATTTCTGCAACTCTTGAGTTATTCAATAAAATTAATTGACTGATCCATACATTTTTTTGAGTCACTGTAAAATCAAATCTAAAGAATATGAATGCAATGATAAATTACGAATATATACTGATGATACTTTGCACATTTTAGATAGGATTTATTCGCAAAATTTTGAGATGACGTCATCAAAATTTTGGGCTTGATAAACAGATATATTTTGATTAAAAAGCTACTATGCCATACAGTAACTTCAAAACGTCTGCAATATTTCAAAATTTAGTTTTGCAATTCTTCATTCATCCAGTAAAATAAATTGACTCAGTGATTCATCTTTTTGAGACATCCCTTATAAGCAAAACTAAAAAATATGAATGGAATGATAAATCACAAGTAGGTATAGTCTCATCCTATTTTGGACATTTTAGATAGGATTCATTTGGCAAAATTTTGGGCTGACATCGTTAATTTTTTGGAGGAGATAAGTAAATATATTTTGAATAAAAATTTATTATGCTTCTCATATATTTAAAACATCTGCAAGCATTCGGTTTTGCAGATTCAAAATTAAATTGTAGGTAAAACGAAGTTCATGGGGTCAGCTAGTATATATATAAAATTTGACGACAATCGCTTCAGCAGTTTCAGCGATTACGTGTCTAACAAAAATGGATACAAACACCAGACAGACATACAAACAGACAGACAGACGGAAACGGGAGACTACATTTTTCGTACTACATTCGTTCGATGAACTCAATTACTACAGTTCCTTAGCTTACGCTCGGGAAGTAAAAATGGTATATATTATCCATGTCGTGGTCTGATCATCATCCTCGCTTCCTTAAGGCTCTGTTCAACACCGTGAAATGTAACCCAATGGACTCCCAAATCGAAATATTTAGAAGTTTTTACTTCATTCATAGGTCGATATCTGCAAGTTAGACAGGAGGAATAGCAGCTCGAGTACCACCAGCCAGCTTCTACAAGTATATTATTACAAATTATCCGTAAAACATTCAACTAAAATTTACTGTGATAGTCTGCGCAACGGATATTTTCACCATGATCTGTAGTACTAAATTTCTCAGTCTGACTTTTGAACGAATTTCCAGCGTCTCCTCTATACTGCCCCACAGTTTTTATACGATAACTCTCAAGTTCATTTCCCATTTGAAAATCGTCATATAGCGCATAAACCTTTTTCAAATCCTGGTCGACCAGTTCAAAAAACAACTCGGTTGGTTTAGTACCTAAACGATAAAAACAAAATGAGTGCAGGATTTTTTGACAAAAGAAGTGAAACTTACTTGTCAGTTCGTAGAGATGATCTAAACCTAACCAATGTTCTCCTGAAAGATTACCAAAACTTTGCTTATAATCTGTCCACTTGCGGTCAAAGTTTACTGACCCATCAAATCGATTAATGACGTAAGTCCACCCTCCTTTTCGAGTCGACATATCGCACTAAACTAGAAAACTTTGCAAGGAAAGCATGGGTTGTATGCGAAAAATGCCAGAAGTGTTATATCCCCTGTTTTGAACTTCTCTACAGTCCTTTGGTACAGATTTACAGTCTTGAATTTCTGTAAGTATCTTTTCCTGCGTTTTCGCCAGTTGGTTTTTAATTTCGTTCAAGTCCTGTAGTTGGGAGATTTCGGCTTTCGCCTCTGTAAACTGAGTTTGCACATTTGACTGTATTTTTTCGATAAGGTTTTCGTTGTTTAAAAGCAGAGCCTTTATTTCGTCAACCATACCGTTGATTTCAGTTAGTTGTTCTTTGACGCTCTGTTCTTTTTCGTTTATATTGATTAGTTTGTTATTAATTTCGTTGAAAGCACCAGAGGTGTTAAGAGTGACTTCTATTTCTTTACTCTGAATTCTAATTGCCGACTGTATTTCTGAAGCAAGTTGCTCGTGTTTAGAAATAGAGAGCTTTGTCAATTCGCCTGAAATGTTTATTTTAGCAAGTATTTCATTTTTTGCTTGTGTTATTTGCAGTCTAACATTTCCTTCTGTTTCTGCCACAATTTCTTGTTTCGTTTCTTTCAACTGATTTTCCAGATTGCTAAAATGAGTTTGCACGTATGATTTTATTCCGGTGATGTGTTTTTCGCTTTCGGAAAGAATTAGCTTCGTTGATTCCCTTTGGTTGCTCATTTCATCAAGTACTTCTTTTGTCGTTTGTGTGAGTTTCTTTTCGATGATAGAATGAAATGTACCTAAATCCCGATTCTTTTACGGCGTCCATGTGGTTCGTCATTTCATTTTTTGCCTATGTTATTGTCGTCTAACATTTTCTTCTGTTTCTGATAATTGCTCTTTTAGGCCTGCATCGTAAATCCTGATTTTCTTTTCTATCACGTTTTCGACTTCTTCGATAATTTCCCGCTTTATTTCTTTTAATGCGTCAAGTATAGTGCGCATTGCTAACGGTAATTCCACTCGTACAAAAGAAGGATCGTTTACGATAGCTTCAATTTTTGGTGGACTTTTGCTAGTAGAAACCACAGAGAACTGTCAAAAAACAAGATACATTGTTAACAAAAACTGCTGATTTAATAAAGTACGTGGTGATGTCTTTTGGGATGACATCTTACAGCGTGGTATATTTTTGTCAATTATGATGTAATTTTGAGGGAGCAGTACGGCTCAGATAGCCCCTAGCACTGCGCAGCGATAATGCATGAAGCAACGCTGTCCGCAGTCACTTTGTGGATGGGTGGCCAAGATCGCCATACCTATCTGAGCGGCTCGGTGCGTCTCCCCCCTCGACACCCAATGGGTAAAAGAGGGTAACAGATAATATATATACTTATGATGTAATTTCGAATGAATTTTAAAGGCCTACTTACGTCGTCAGTGTCACTAGGGTTCAGGAACACATTTCTAAACAGCAACATTAATAAGAATATAATTTTTGAACCTATTTTCTGCATTAATAATTTTATTGTACTTGTACTACGAAATTTTAATCGTGGGTTACACTTTGTAACCTCTTTGTTGATATTCGTGGTCCTTGACCAAATGTGTGATAAATGAAAAAGTTATCTAAAAATTATGCACAACTCTCATCCAAACAAACAACGATTACGTTCTTATAAGAATTTAGTTAGTCGAGTTATCCAGACATTGCTTTCCAATAAATATTAGCTTTGTGTCCAACGGGAACTGATTACTGATCAGTCTCCTTTAAAAGAACATTTCTTTTTGTCATACGCTATTTCGTAAGCTGGACAGCGTTTAGAATTTTTTTTAATTAGTTTTTTTTGACATACATTCCATATTTACGAATAGATTCTACAAAATTCTGTTGTGAAATCTTAAGTGTAGATGGTAAAACGCCAACTAAAATTTTTTTCATCAAATTCGCCAACAACTGACATCATCTCAAAATTTTACAAAATAAAGCTTACTTAAAATTCATGAAAGAATATGCTTTTGTACTTGTGGTATATTAATTTGCCCTTATATTAGATGTCCAGTTATTAAAAAAAAAACAAAACGTTTTTCAATTTCAGATCTTAAATACCTACATTACGGGTTTAGGAAACATGCTAAATCGTTAATCAAATCTTTTTTTCTCTCCAAAAACTTGTTGCTGTAATTTCAAAATTGTGCTAAAATGTACAAACTAGACTATTTTGTACATAACTACAAATGACTTAAGAATTTCCGACCCTACATCGCCTGAGAACATCTTAACGATTTCATACATAATGTTCCCGAATGACAAAATTTACACTTCAAATTGTATTATCAAATGGTAAAACGCTCCCCAAAATTTGTCTTCTCATCCACACCAACACTGAAATGACGTAATCTCCAAATTTTACAATAGTTAATGTTATTTAAATTTTGTATCCTCCGTTTATGGTTTATGAACCCATGTTGAGTTTTTGTCTTAGGCATTAAGATTTTTGGAAAAAAATCAACATTTTACAATCTTTAGTTAAAATCTATCCTTTCATCCTCCCCAGAAATTGATTGATCTCATTTTAGAATTTTGTCGAAAAAATGTTATTTAGGCGTTAAAAAGTGGCATAGTCCTGAACTTGTGGTTTATGAATACGCGTTAAATATTTATCCTCGATATTATGATTTTTCGGTTTTTCGATTTATCGATTTTTCAACTTCAGATTTCTCAATTTTTCAGTACTTCAATTTTGGGCTTTTTCGAATTTTGCATTCTTCAAATTTTCCATTTTTTCAATTTGCCGATGGTTCAGTTTTACAATTTCTCAATTTTTCTCCTCTTCAATTTTGCGATTTTTAAATATTATTTTTAAATTTTTCACAATTTTGACGTTTCTAAATTTTCAGTTCTTTAATTTTCAGATTTTTTAAGTTTTCGATTTTTCGAAATTGCTTTTTTGCTTTTTCGATTTCTAAATTTTTCACTTTTTTCATTTCTCAATTTTTGTATTTCTTTCAATTCTGGGATTTCTGAATTTTTCGATTCCTCAGTTTTTCAGTATTTTGATTCTTGGATTCTTAGATTTTTTCGACTTCTGGATTTTATTTTTTGGATTTACAGTTTTTCGTTTTTTAAATTTTAGATCTTTCAGTTTTTCGGCTGTTTAATATTTCAATTTCTCAAAATTCCAACTTTTCGGTACTTTAATTTTTCAATTTTTAAAAATCTAGATTTTTTCAGTTCTTCTATATTTCAATTTTTCAGTTTTCCGAATTTTTAAATTTTCGATTTTCCAACTTTTCTTTTTTAAAATATTTCGATTTTCTAATTTTTTGTTTTCTCAATTTTTGGATATTTCTCCCAGTTTTGGGATACTTCAATTTTTCGATTCTTCAATTTTTCTTATATTTTTGAATTTTTCGATATTTCAGTTTTGAGATATGTCAGTAGTTTGAGTCTTCAACTTTTCGATTTCTTGACTTCCGGATTTTTTGATTTCTGGGTTTTGTACATTTTGAATTTTCAATTTTCGTTCTTAACTTTAGATTTTTCAATTTTTCAACTGTTTTATACTTAGATTTCTCAAATTTTCGACTTTTCGATATTTTAGTTTTCAATTTTTAAAATTCTGGGTTTTTCGTTTTCTCGAGCTTCCAATTCTTCTATATTTTAATTTTTCAATTTTCCGAATTTTTAAATTTTCGATATTTCAAATGTTTGATGTTTTGATTTATCGGGATTCGGACATTTCGATTTTTGATTGTTCAATTTCTCGATTTATCAATTTTTCAATTTTTAACTGTTCCATTTTTCGATTTTGGCTTATTTTGGTTTCTTAATTTTTCGACTTCTCAACTTTTCGACTCTCGATCCTTTGATTTTTCGATTTCTCGATCTCTCACTTTTTTTATTTTTCGACGTTTCAATTTTTCGATTTCTCGTTTTTTTGATTTTTCACTTTAGGTACGGCTTTTCGATTTCTTGATTTTTCGGTTATGCGATTTTCAATTTTTAAATTTCGGAGTTTCGATTTCTTGACTTTTTAATTTTTCGATATTTCAATTTTTCAATGTTTTAAATTTTAGATTTTTCGATTTACCAATTTTTCAATTTTTGAGTTTTCGATTTTTCGATTTTGACCTATTTTGGTTTCTCCATTTCTCGACTTTTGGATTCCTTTAGTTCTTGATCCATTGATTTTTCAATTTCTCGATGTCCCGATGTCAGTTTTTGAATTTTTCGATATTTCCATTTTTCGGTTTTTCGATTTTTTACTTTTTACTTCCAATTTTTCGATGTTTCGATTGTTCAGTTATTGGATATTTCAAATTTTCAATTTTTTAAATTTCGGAGTTTCAATTTCTCGAATTTTCGATTTTCCAGTTTTTCCATTTCTAAATCCAAATTTGTATTTTTTTGATGTTTGGATTTCCCGATTTTTCAATGTTTTAAATTTTAGATTCTTCGATTTTTAGTTCTTCAATATTTCCATTTTTTGTTTTTTCGATTTTTCAATTTTAGCGGTTTTACGATTTTGTTATATTTAAATTTTTTGCCAACTTGGTTTTTCGATTTTTAAAGTATATGTTAACTTTTCAATTTTTAGATTTCTAGATTTTTCAATTTTTCAATATTTTAATTTTTCAATTTTCAAAAATCTGGATTTTGCGAATTCTTGAGTATTCAGTTCTCCTGTTTTTCATTTTTTAATTTTCCGAATTCTTAAATTTATGATTTTACAATTTTTTTTTTAATTTTGATTTATCAATTTTTTTAATTTTTAACTTTTTCACTTCTCAACTTTCAAGTCCTCGAATCTCATTCTTTTTATTTTTCGATTTCTCGATTTCTCAGTTTTTGAATTTTTTCATGTTTCGATTTTTCGATTTCTCGGTTTTTCGATTTTTTACTCTTCGGTTTTTCAATTTTTCGATGTTTCGATTTTTCAGTTAACCAATTTTTTAATTTTTCAATTTTTTAAATTTTAGGGATCGATTTCTCGATTTTTCAATTTTTCGTTATTTTAATTTTTCAATGTTTTAAATATCAGATTTTTCGATTTCTCAATTTTTCAGTTTTTCAATTCTTCGATTTTTGGATTATTCAGTTTTGCTGTTTTACGATTGTTTTATGTTTCGATTTCCTGCCATCTTGATTTTTCGATTAAAAAAATTTTTCGACTTTCCGATTTTTAGATTTCTCGATTTTTCAAGTTTTCGATTTCTCAGTTTTGGAAATTTTTCAATTTCTGTTTTTTTCGATAATTAATAAATCCTGGATAATTTAGTCCAGTCTCTTAATCGGCTGAAAATATTTAAAATAAACATACGAATATTATAATAAAAAAGAATTTTGGGATTAAAAAAAATGGCTTCGTGTTATTAGACAGATCTTCTCTCAGACCTGAAGTTCAATCAAACAAATCCAGTCTTAAAAAAAATAGATAATACCTGACAGTCATACTCATAAATATATTATTATAAGATGTTGTAACACAATTTAATTTTTGTTTTTTGTGAAAATCCGGATGCGGGAGTAAAAAGGCGGATTCATAAACCACAAGGATACAGGTACGTTATTAAAAAAAAAAAATAAATAGCTCTCACTATATAAAGTGATGTAATCACAGTGGTAGTGGGCCTGATTAGACAAAACACTGGCTGTAAATAATTTAATAGTCAGTAATGATCTCAACAACTAAATACAAATGAATGTAACTAAAGATTTTAAATTCGTTTCACGTTTTCCAAAATTCATAATTTCAACGTACCTTTGTATGGAGATATTAATAAAAAGTGCTTACTGTAATATTACGTAATAACTAACTACAATAAACCCAGTCTGGGATGTGCGAATTAGATAAACTGCTTATTGATGTAGCCGCAGATAAGGGTTGATCTCACCAGTAGCGATTAAGTCCGTTGCGAATTAACTCGTGATCCCGAAAGTCAAACAGGTATTCCAGTAAATTAAAGTTTTGAGACCGGTCTAAACAGTTTAGGCGTTGGGATTTTGGCGATCTCTCCGAGCTACAAAGTTTGGATCGAATGAAACATTATGTAACAGTTGGATTTTCACTGTACGATGTCCGGATATATTTTCAAAATACTTTTCTAGCATTTCCAACAGAATTTCAGCATATGTGTGTTTAATAATAAATCTACTGTTTCGAGTGATAATTAAAAATTCTACGTACCTATCTATTTACTTATAAATAATTAGTATTACATTAGTATTAAAGAAAAGTTGCAAGGTCAATAAGTGTTGTAAAGTAAGAATTTTAATGAGATCGATAAAGGTTTTGAATGGAAAGTTGAATATTACTTAGAGGAAGAACTATATTTGGAACGTTATTTTTGTGATAGCGAAAATTTATGACTTTATTATGAGGCGCTAGACAACAAAGTAACAAGATTACTTTTTTTACCTAACTAAAGTTCAGCATCAATAGCATCCCAAACCAGAATTTGATAACGTCATATGGAAAGATTCTATATTAAAATTAC